TAAAAATCCGTAATCATAGATTTTTATACAGGAAAGTATTATACTATTAATTTATAAAGTAATCTTGATTTGTATGACAATCTTCTTTAGATTTTACGACTCATTTTGATATTTGGTATCTTATATATATTTTTGTATTTCATATTTTTATATGTGTACGAAATTAGAATTTTGATTACATTAAACTATGTAGAATATACTTTGCACTTGGCAATTTGCCATTTGTACAAATTTAGTTAAATCGTTTGAGGATGTTCGCGAGGATCGGCGTTACGCAACGCGTTTATTTCGTAGTACGCACCTCGTTAACGAGCGAGGTGTTGAATTCGCAGGGGAGGATTTCGGCGTGCCAGTTCTGACGATCACCGACGTGGATCTATGCGTCGCCGAGAATGGCGCGAACCACAGAACGTCGAGATACGATTTGATGACCCGACAGGATGACAAGTCTAGGCTGGTCGTCAGAAGGGGGCAGGAGTTTTATTTGCACCTGAGCTTGTCCAGGGATTACGAGCCAAGCATCGACGGTATGTCCATAGTTTTCACGGTCGATGGGATCGACAGGCCTGAGTATGGCCACGGAACCCTCGTCGCGGTACCAGTCCTTTACCCTGGAGAACCGTTTGACGGCCCCTGGCGAGCCATCATCGACGCGATCCAACCCAATTTCATGCGACTGAAGGCGAGTCTTATTATTATTACAGTTCATGAAAAAATGAATGAATCTCGAGAGTTACTGAGATCCATAAGACGTCCCGTTGTTTTGTGATTTTTCATTATCTAACTGTAAGGAAAAAGTCTTAATTTCTGTTCGCGTCAGAATAACTCACTCNGTTCAGAATCGGACGAAGAACGAGCTGCCATGTTAAAAGCGCTGCGTCAAAGTCAATCGCTGTTCAGTCGATACTATCTTAACGAAGAATTCAATGATATCATGTTCAACTTCGAACTTCGTGACGATATTATAATCGGCCAGCCATTCAGGTAATTTTATATTACACTGAATGATTTTCAAAGATTTATTACAGTAATCTAAAAAATGGATGAACCTGAATTTTCATTCCTTATTTTAAATTTCGATCTTAATATAAATCCCGATCGAAAATTCCTAAATATTTATGATATTTATGCATTGAAAAACGTGCATTACTTATGTTGTTTGCATATTTACTTCTACTAGATATTTTAAGGGGGAAAGACAGTTTCTAACTTGGCTTCGTTTCGTAGCGTGGTGTTGTTGATTAAAAATAGAAGCAACTACAACGAGTACCGAGTCTCGGTGATCTTAAGGGTGGAAACGGTGCTGTACACCGGCCGGGTCGGCGACCCAGTGAAAAGATTAAATATCGATCGACTGGTGAAACCCGGAGTCCTCGAGGAGGCGCGTATGGAGGTTTCCTGGGAGGAGTACGGTCCGCGATTATTGAATCAGTGCGCGTTCAACATCGCCTGTTTAGCTACCGTTAAGGACACCAATTACGAGTACTTCGCGCAGGACGATTTTCGCGTGAGGAAGCCGGACATTAAAATCATGGTACGTACTGCGATCACGCTTCTCTATCTCGTGAACGAAACCATTAACTCCGGAAGTAGTTTACGGTAAAGTCCTTATAAATACTCTTCTGTATTGATATAATCTGAACGTCTTTCTAAATGTCTCTTCTATACTGATGTGCAATTAAATTTTATTTAAAAGAAAAAGCAACTTACATAATTTTCTGAAAGTACTTACATAATTAAATGATTACATTTAATGTGCCTCGAACTTATGAAATTATTGTTTAATAAATTTTGTTCCATTTTTCAGGTAAATTCACCAGACGACAACGGGGCGGTGATGGGAAATTGGTCGGACGACTTCGGGGGTGGCACGCCGCCGACCAAATGGTTGGGTTCGCAGAAGATTCTACAGCAATACTATAAGACCAAGAAGCCGGTTAAATACGGCCAATGTTGGGTGTTCTCCGGAGTATTGGCTACCGTGTGTCGCACATTGGGCCTCCCTTGCCGGGTCGTGACTAATTATGCGAGCGCCCACGATACCCAGAGCAGCTTGACGGTCGATTACTTCGTTGATGCCGAGGGGAAGATCATGGAAGAGCTTAACAGCGATTCGATATGGCAAGTATTTAAATGACAGACGCAATAAATAATAAATTTTGAATCGAGACTTACGGTTTCCTGCTTGAATTATATAATAGTCACAATTTCTATTCAAATTCACTGGTTTAGGATTATATAAAAAATTAGAGAAAATAGCTAGTAAGTAGGAATTGTGACCTGAAATTGGAACATTTGTTATATACATATATAATAGGAATTTCCATGTATGGAACGAGGTGTGGATGAAGAGATTGGATTTGTCGTCGGACGAGTCAGGTTGGCAAGCGATCGATGCTACTCCGCAGGAATTGAGCGAGGATGCTTACCGTTGTGGACCAGCTTCGGTAGCGGCAGTAAAAAGGGGCGAAGTCCTCCGACCATACGACAACGCTTTCCTCTTCGCCGAGGTGAACGCGGACAAAGTTTTCTGGCGGTACAACGGACCGACGCAACCGCTTAAGTTAATACGAAAGGACGTATACGGGTGAGTCTTCGGTCTTCCAAACACTCTTTCTATTATTCTATAATTTTATATTACTTTGCAGCATTGGACAATTCATTAGCACGAAAGCGGTTGGCAGATGGGCGAGGGAGGACATCACTCATAATTATAAATACCCAGAGAGTAAGAAATACTTCGTTCTTTCCATTGCTGGGCTTAGTTATTATATATTTATTATAATTATTTATTATAATTATCATTTTTATTGTTCAGAATCGGACGAAGAACGAGCTGCCATGTTAAAAGCGCTGCGTCAAAGTCAATCGCTGTTCAGTCGATACTATCTTAACGAAGAATTCAATGATATCATGTTCAACTTCGAACTTCGTGACGATATTATAATCGGCCAGCCATTCAGGTAATTTTATATCACCTTCAATGCTAGACTTTCAAAGATTTATTACAGTAATCTAAAAAATGGATGAACCTGAATTTTCATTCCTTATTTTAAATTTCGATCTTAATATAAATCCCGATCGAAAATTCCTAAATATTTATGATATTTATGCATTGAAAAACGTGCATTGCTTATGTTGTTTGCATATTTACTTCTACTAGATATTTTAAGGGGGAAAGACAGTTTCTAACTTGGCTTCGTTTCGTAGCGTGGTGTTGTTGATTAAAAATAGAAGCAACTACAACGAGTACCGAGTCTCGGTGATCTTAAGGGTGGAAACGGTGCTGTACACCGGCCGGGTCGGCGACCCAGTGAAAAGATTAAATATCGATCGACTGGTGAAACCCGGAGTCCTCGAGGAGGCGCGTATGGAGGTTTCCTGGGAGGAGTACGGTCCGCGATTATTGAATCAGTGCGCGTTCAACATCGCCTGTTTAGCTACCGTTAAGGACACCAATTACGAGTACTTCGCGCAGGACGATTTTCGCGTGAGGAAGCCGGACATTAAAATCATGGTACGTACTGCGATCACGCTTCTCTATCTCGTGAACGAAACCATTAACTCCGGAAGTAGTTTACGGTAAAGTCCTTATAAATACTCTTCTGTATTGATATAATCTGAACGTCTTTCTAAATGTCTCTTCTATACTGATGTGCAATTAAATTTTATTTAAAAGAAAAAGCAACTTACATAATTTTCTGAAAGTACTTACATAATAATTCACTTGAGAAAGAAGTACCACACGAAAATTGATTTTCTAAGACTGTCTAGTGAAATCAATAAATAAAGGATAATTTTAATTCCTATTTTGTATTCACTCTGTGAATTTTGCAATTGGATGCTTTTGCAGGTCGAGAACGCGCCGGAAGTCGGTAGAACACTGAATGCCACGGCAAGATTTAAAAATCCACTACCGATTCCACTGAGGAAGGGTAGATTTTTGATCGAAGGACCTGGACTAGACGAGCAACTGAAGATTAAATTGTCAGAGCCCGTGGAGGTTGACGGGTACGCGGAATGTTCCTTCTCCATGATGCCAAAGTTCGAAGGCCGAGCGACGATAGCTGCTAAATTTTATTCGAAGGAGCTCGAAGACGTCGACGGATTCATCAACTTCATGGTGAATCCAGCAGAGCCTATCGCGAACGGCGAATAACGCGAGAAGCTCGGTGCAAAGCAAATCAATGCAAAAGTGTGTTCGTAGATTTTTTGGAAAGCTTTATTTTTTTTAAATCGCGTTATTTTTGTACGAAATAAATGTTTGACAATTGACTGCCTTCTCTAATCAAATTGTGAACATATATAAATATCCTCGAAATTGACATTATTTCAATTTTTAAATATTCTTAAATCATGTATTAAGAATTATACAAAATTACGAAATTCTGTCATTGTTGTATTCATATTTCTTTTATAAATGACATCAAAATTCTGTCATTCCACATAAGAATTCACGCTGTTATACTTTTTTGCTGACAAAATTTCTAAAATTTTGTACAGTGTTTTATTAACGTAATATCTAGTAACTATTAAAATTTCAATGTTTTGTCATTGTTTTCTCTAAGAGTTCATACTACCTTGAGAAGCTTTCTCCCCATAGGATATTGATAACAAGTCTGGTTCACTTTGGCGGTGTCGATATCGGGAACGTTTAGGGTGGACGTCGGTTTAAGCAGACGGGACGAATGTAATACCGGTTCGGAGCAGGCTTCTGCGTTAGGTCAATAAAAAATTCAATCGACAGACAACTACCTGAGCAGCGTGGATAAACCGGGACTACCGACTACGCCGAGCCAGGCATTATTAACGAGCGGCAATCGAGAGAGAGTCGCTGTGTCGTGTGCGTGATTATTCGGAATAAGAGAACGGTTCGAGAGGGTAAAGAGGGAACGGGGCACGGGAGTTAGAAAGAGATGAGGGAAGAAGAAAATCGGACGGGAAGGCAGTTGGAACGGCCGACGACGATGATGAGTGTTCACGAGCGGACGCACGACACTGACACGAGTCATGTATCACTATCTAAGAAATTAACGTTGAAATATCGTAGACGATGAATGAACGCGATACCAAGGCTAGAAGAAAGATTCGAGCGTTGCGTCCACGTCCAAAACGTTGCTTTCGATGATCGAACACTCGTCTAGTCGATTATAAATGTCCTAACTAATAGAAAAATATAAACTGAAGTATTATACGAC